TGCTGCGAAATCTTTCACCATTGGGAACATTCGCCCTTAAGCTCTTCAATGCTGGCCAAAGTGTATCTTTCAACTGAAAGGGGATCCCATGCAAATCCTCAAAGTTAAATTAAAAATATGTCAAAGCTGTGCTCTGATATCTTTAAAACTGTAACAAACAACAATTGTAGTAACAATGATGTTATACATCAAGCATGAAAGACCGTGTTTAACCACATTTCCAAATATGAAGGAGAGTGTTTAAGATATAACACACAGCTGAGAATATTTGACAAAATTTGACGTGTTGGAAATGTGATGAAATGTGGTCTTTGGTGTTTGACACACTATAACTATACACAAGTAAACCTATCTTCTCAGTTGAAACTAAACTAAGGAGAGAAAGGCACCTTAAAATCACAACATCTATGCCAAATAAGATCAGATATCCAAACACCATCACAGTTATGATTCACATTGTTTAAACGTGATGAGTTATTGATGAGTTTGAGAAAATTATTTGAAAAAGCTTCTGCAAGTGAATTTTTAAGAGACATATATTGGGCATTGTTTGATGTCAAAAGTAAGAATAATGAACAATGTATTAAATTGCATTAGTTGCATTGAATGTGCATTCTGGCAAAAACCGAAACTATTCCTGGAATATTAGTTAACCTCATTGTAAAAGTTAACAGCAAATACACATTTTTCGTACAGAATTAATATCTTGTAGAACTGTATAGGCTCGATCCAATAAGCAAATTCTAAGAACAGCGTCTTCTATTTTATTGTTAACTTTAATAATAATCAAGTGAACATAAATTGCAACACACTGCTTACCAACATTCACCAAAGTGTGTTTCTGTCAGTTCCTTGACTTGTGGCCAGCAGACACAGTGGTTGTTGGATTAGTGTTATTAAATACTGCAGGGCCTGGATTGTTCTCCACATCATTCACTCCCTGTTACAAGCAATGAGATGTGGACAAAATGTAGCCCATCATTTCTGTACATGTCCAGAATTTCAATGTTGTCAAGTAAAACACATTTAGCTAAGACGTGGTAAGAATCCAGCCCCGTTGAACATGAGATAAGGCATCCTTTGTTTTCTCGACTGGTATTGTTCAATTGATGTCCCCATACTCGCAGTTAATATTATCATGTAGTTAACAAACAGCTCCAGTACATGTAAGTTCGGCAGTTTCACTGCATTCACAGCTGCTAAAAATGAATGCACAGTGCGAGTACATGTATGCGATTTATGTGATAACAGTAGAGTCCAATAACTGACACTCGTTTGTGTAAAGAGGGTGAGTGCTTGCGAAAGCGAATACTTCTCCTGTACAATCCACACTGAACACGAGCCGAGCCTGGATAAGTTAATGGTTTTCGTGAGCAAAACAAATCTTGTATCGCTGAAGAAATTTTCTCAGGAAGATCTAAGTGAAATAACAAAGAGTACACAGTTCTCGAGGGCGGTGCGGAAAGAATGATAATATGTAACAAAAACGAGGCAAAGCAATTTAGAAATGGAAAATAACTTACCTTGAAAACTGCAACCAACTTGCAACAGTAAGCTGTGGAAAATATTACATGTACTCAAAACAACAATGGCCACCGTATCGAACGCTCACGTCATAGAAGCCTACTCAATTCCTCCCAGAAGACCTGACAATATGCGACACATAGACAAATAAATTCCTCTGACAGTAACATAGTGGAGGCTGAAGCCCCCACAACAAATCCACAAGAAACAAAACCCTAAAATACTGTTGTCAGTTAGAGAGGATGTTTGCGCTAACACAATAACAAAAATTATCACATTTTATCACACCTTTGTAGGACTATTATCTAGTATATGTAAGAACAAGAGGTTCACTGTGGTAAAGAACTTCCCTCTAATTGGCTAACATTCTGGTGCAGGTGTATAAATAAATTGCATTAACCTTCTCCATTTTACTTTCAAACCCAGTGGTCTTTGTGTTAATCAGTCGCAGAAATGTCTCTCCATAACCTTACCAAAGTCATTTAATATTGACCAAAGTACATGTACTGTTGATACAAAGAAACTCAGAATGAAAGACTCCCGACAGCCTTTTACTAATTCAGCACCACAGAAAAAAGCTGAGGTTGTGATAAAATTTGGCATTAAAGAGCTGAACGCAATAGTTATTGCATCAGATGGTTAGTAGAATTTTTTTATTTATATTTTGTTTAGCGTGGTGTTCAATGTTGTATAGAGTAATCAAAGTTGCATCTGATCTCTAGCGGAAATAATTGCAGGGCACTAACTTAGTTTTTGAAACTTTATGGGGACATGCAAGGCTGTAGACCACTACGTTTTCAACCAGTTTTATAGTTTTCATCTCATTTGATTGCGTTAACTCAACAACTTAAATTTTCTTTTCTCAGATAATGAAGATAAGCTGAACCTGGAGGAAAAGAAGTTCGTCGACAATCCAAAGAATGCCAATCTTTTCTCCGATCCTCCCTCTGGTGAAAAGTGATGCCAACACGATCTT